AATATCAGTGTACTGATATGAACATCATATACACAAGTAAATATGTGTTTTACTCAAAGCCACCAAAGTCCACCTAATAGTTGCACTAGAGTTTTCAGGCCAGCGAGATCACCAAAGTCACCATGATTCATCTCCTGGGGACGATAAATCTTTGCACCAATGTTGATGAAAATCTATCGGCAAGATTTTACCCTTGACCAGAGTAAACCTCGTGGTGCGTTTACATGTGAAGTCAAAGATCCCTGAGCTGTTACAATAAGTCCTCTGGAGAACATGAACGTTTGCAACACATTTGATTTCAGTCCATCCAAAAGTCGTCTGGACATTTCACAAAAAAACAACAGCAAATGTTTACCTCATGATGCCCTGAGATGAAAAGGATTTCGTATTAAAAAGGTTATTAAAATTAATCGGTAACATAAAATGATGTACCACATTAGACTTGATCCGGACCAGAGTGCAGGGCCAGCTGTCAGTCCTGCAGCCAGCTAGCCTTGAGCTATAGCAGAGGGCTTAAAATGAAATAAATCATCAGTGTTTGTATTCACTAATAATCTAATCAGGCTCACATGAAGAGAAAAAAAACCTGTGAAAACACAGTTCCAGAACCTGAGAGGAGGAGGAGGTGTCTGACAGCACACATGACTGACACAAACAGTGAGGGAGTCGGACAGATGAGAGCCACGGGCGCTGTGGGGGGGGGGGGGGGGGTGTTTGAGGGTCAACACATCGCCTGTGCATTGAGTGTGGCCCGGCAGCTGTATGCATAGGGGAGCCTTGGCCTCCTGCTCTGCATGTCAGGGGGCTGTGATTAATGACCTGCAGGCCTTGCTCTTTACCCCCCCTCCACCACCCCACAGAAGTCACTGCAGCCACTGCTCATTTAGCCAATGGACACAGTCGGAAGAAAGACAGGCCGCGGGGGTGGGGGGGTTACAGTCGAGGGCACGTACATGTGAAATAAAGCAATTTCCCTCTTTTACAAAACACCACTTTTCCAGGCCGTGTGTGATTCCAGGGTGGGGAGCGATGATTTTCTAAGATTACCGCTGTGCCTGTGCAGCGTCGAGGCTGAGCAGTGCCCGTGCCTGTGTACCGGGTTCCCAGCTTGTCAGGCAGCTGTCGAGGAGTGATTTATGACCGCTAGACTCCAACCTGTCTTCACTGCCAGCTCAGTATTGTTACAACTGACAGCTAATGAGGCCAGACATGCTTTCAAGCAGAGCACTTAACAGGACTTCAATCTTCCCCCTCGTCACGACTACCATTTTTTTTTTTTTGCACTCTCGCACACACAGCAGCAGCCCTCCTTTCTCTGTGCCTTGCCTTGTTCTCCGTCTTTTGCTGTCGCTGGAAATATCTGACAGGCACTGAAAAGAACTTCTGCCGACCCGAGAGAGATGTTTCTCTGACGGGAAAAAGGGAATCTTTCAAACACACATATAATCTAATAATCAAGCCCCTTTCACATGGCTTTAAAGAAACAGAAACACGCCCGCTCCTGACACCATTCTTCATGTGTTTACTCTGCTAGCTTAGCTTAGCTTAGCTTAGCATAATGATTGGAAACTGGGAAACAGCTTTTTAGGTTGTCAGCTCTTTATTTTTAATGCATGTTCCCAAGAAGAACTTGGATGTGTTCTGATCAGATCGGGCCGCATGGGATCTCAGAATTGATCGAGAATTGATCAGGATGGCGTTAAGTCGGCGTACGTCTGGGCGACAAGAAAGCAGCATGTGTCCACTGTCCATACAGGAAGCTAATTCAATCTTTATAAATGTGTTTTTTTTTGGAGGTTCTTTGCAGACTTTCACACAGAATCAACTCCTAAAGTGTTGATTTTTCATTGTGTTTGGTTACTTTGTCTTTTCAGCGTGTCTGTTTTTATCATTAAAGGTTTCAGCCGGTGGAACCGTGAGATCTGTGACCCGTTGCACCTCTGGTTACAAGTTATAGGAAAGTTGTTTTGACCATGAAAGAAACGCTCCAAGTAGCCTGATCATTTAAATATAGCCTAACACTGTATCCTTGATTCATGTGTTACGACATAAATACATGTTGAACGTTGCTTTCCTGCCTGCAGACAGATCGAGTATTGAGTCTCTCGATTCAGAATGAATTCAAACAAAAGGAACTACGAGAGTGACATCTTTAACTGCAGAGCGACTCAAAGTGAAGTTTTACTGTTTTTTTTTGCAGAACAGCTACTTCTGAACAAACAGTCTCCATATCTCCCAAACCTCTTCTGTCAGCTAACAAGAAACAAGAGGCAGAATAAAAACAGAGTCTGTTTCCCTCCTGAACCTTTGACTCCTGGTTTTCTTGTCAGCTGTGATTAATGACATGCTACGCTAACTAGCTGTTAGCTCGCATCCCCGGCTGCAGCAGGAGGATTGTCTCCTGGAAGCTCCAATGAGGCCTGACAACTCTTTCCCCTCTCCTGCTCTGATGGTTCTAATAAATGCTGCAGCAGCGCCCCCTGGTGGGTGAGGAGAGAAAGTGGAGACAACATCAAGAACTCAGATTTTTTTTTTTTTTTATTGAACCTTTATTAATCAGGAAAGAAACTCATCCCTTTTTCAAGAATGTCACACAAACAACTAGCATCCACACATACTAAGAAATACATTATTAGACATTAAGAGACACAGATTAAAGCAAATGTTAGACAACATCGCCCACAAACACATCAGAGAGAACATCTGCAGCCAGATGTGTCCGCCTCCAGGTAAAACATTTTTTATAATTTAACCACTTGTTTCTATTTCTTTTCCTGCTCTTACCTTCTTATTGCTGTTCTCTTTTGATTTACTTTTATCTCTTTTAGTTTCTTACATCTTTTTAAATCTTTGGTTCCTCTTGGTCTCAGTTGTTGGGTTCTTATGATGGTTCTTGTGATGGTTCTTATGATGGTTCTTGTGATGGTTCTTGTGATGGTTCTTGTGATGGTTCTTATGATGGTTCTTGTGATGGTTCTTATGATGGTTCTTATGATGGTTCTTATGATGGTTCTTATGATGGTTCTTGTGATGGTTCTTGTGATGTTCTTATGATGGTTCTTGTGATGGTTCTTATGATGGTTCTTGTGATGGTTCTTATGATGGTTCTTATGATGGTTCTTATGATGGTTCTTGTGATGGTTCTTGTGTTGCTGGGTTCTTGTGATGGTTCTTATGATGGTTCTTGTGATGGTTCTTATGATGGTTCTTATGATGGTTCTTATGATGGTTCTTGTGATGGTTCTTGTGTTGCCTGGGTTCTTGTGATGGTTCTTATGATGGTTCTTGTGATGGTTCTTATGATGGTTCTTATGATGGTTCTTGTGATGGTTCTTATGATGGTTCTTGTGATGGTTCTTGTGATGGTTCTTATGATGGTTCTTGTGATGGTTCTTATGATGGTTCTTGTGATGGTTCTTATGATGGTTCTTATGATGGTTCTTATGATGGTTCTTGTGATGGTTCTTGTGTTGCCTGGGTTCTTGTGATGGTTCTTATGATGGTTCTTGTGATGGTTCTTATGATGGTTCTTATGATGGTTCTTATGATGGTTCTTGTGATGGTTCTTGTGTTGCCTGGGTTCTTGTGATGGTTCTTGTGATGGTTCTTATGATGGTTCTTATGATGGTTCTTATGATGGTTCTTGTGATGGTTCTTGTGTTGCCTGGTTCTTGTGATGGTTCTTGTGATGGTTCTTGTGTTGCCTGGGTTCTTGTGATGGTTCTTGTGATGGTTCTTGTGTTGCCTGGGTTCTTGTCATGGTTCTTGTCATGGTTCTTGTGATGGTTCTTGTGATGGTTCTTATGATGGTTCTTATCATGGTTCTTGTGTTCCTGGGTTCTTATGATGGTTCTTGTGATGGTTCTTATGATGGTTCTTATAATGGTTCTTGTGATGGTTCTTGTGATGGTTCTTGTGATGGTTCTTGTGATGGTTCTTGTGATGATTCTTATGATGGTTCTTATCATGGTTCTTGTGTTCCTGGGTTCTTATGATGGTTCTTGTGATGGTTCTTGTGATGGTTCTTGTGATGGTTCTTGTGATGGTTCTTGTGTTCCTGGGTTCTTATGATGGTTCTTGTGATGGTTCTTGTGATGGTTCTTGTGATGGTTCTTGTGATGGTTCTTGTGTTCCTGGGTTCTTATGATGGTTCTTATGATGGTTCTTGTGATGGTTCTTGTGATGGTTCTTGTGATGGTTCTTATAATGGTTCTTGTGATGGTTCTTGTGATGGTTCTTGTGATGGTTCTTATGATGGTTCTTGTGATGGTTCTTATGATGGTTCTTATAATGGTTCTTGTGATGGTTCTTGTGATGGTTCTTATGATGGTTCTTGTGATGGTTCTTGTGATGGTTGGGTTATATATGTCTGTTGGGTATCGTGCACTTTGGGTTCTTTTCGGTTGAATTGTATTTAATTATTTTTAGTATTTTGCATTTGTTATGTTCTTGTTGTTGTTTATGTTCTTCTGTGTTTGCTTTAGTTTGTTCTTGTTTTTGCTGTTTGTCAAAGCACTTTGTAAACCTGTGTTTTTAAAAGGTGCTATAGAAATAAAGTTGTTATTATTATTTAACATCCGCTTAAAATCCTCCAATGAGAGCAGCTCGTTTAGTCTCAGCTCTTGTTGTAACTGGTTTCTGGTGTTGACGGGGGGGGGGTGTCACCTGAGGAAAAAAACACACCTGAGAGCAGCCTTCATTCTCCCGCTGGACTCTGCTGCCCTCTGCTGGACGCCTCTTTCTTTACACTCTGTTTAATATAAGTTTTATAAGTCTACACAGTTTGACTCTTGCATGACTGGTGATACAAGAAGTTGGACACAGTGGAGATAATTACGCGCAAGTTTTACGCAGAGTTCAAACTTGTTGCTGCTTCATTCTGATGTGTTTGTTTGAAAACTTTCGCTGTTTTATTTTAGTGTATGTGCGTGATTCAAACCTGTGTGTGAGCTCCGGTGGCAGGCCCCGTCTTCTTCCCTCCCCCTTTCCCGGCTCCTCCTCTCCTCTGCCGGGCTTCTCGCTCCAATCGAGAGAGCTCTTCCCAAAACTTTCCGTGCCAGCAGGGCTTCCTGAAGCTTCTGTATTCTTCTGTGTGTAGCTCAAGGGGGCGACAGCAGAAACCAAATGGAGGACGTGTGAAATATGTACAAATAAAAACATGGTAGTGGTGACCGAGCAGGCGGACGGACCCCTCCTCACTCCGTTACTGTCCCCGCAGCAGCAACTCGTGAACAGGGACTCCCGAGGGACGAGGCCCGCGTAAGTTTGGATGAGATGGAGGGGAAAGGGCCCCGGTCTGCTTTACACATTTAGGAAAGGCGGTTCAGGCCCAGTGCATTGTGATCAGAATCAGAATCTGTTTTCTTTTTTTTTAAGTTAAAGGGCCGTGCTGAGTTTTTGAGCGCGTATACGTGGCACAGTTTGTGTTAATTTGCCTTCAGAATCTGCAAAAGATTCATGATCTGCTCATAAATGATCTGCCATAGTGAATGTTTCATGCAGGTATTATGTGTTCATATCACTCCTGCACAGTTACGGTGTTATAACGACACGTAAGACTGTGTTGTGTAACTTTATTGTTGCTGCAGGATGTTTCAATAACCGTGACTTCTGGTGTGATGTGTGCAGGTCTGAAGGGTCTGAGAATGGAGGGGAGAAGAGACAGGGGAGGAGAGGAGGGTCACCTGCAGGCCTCCAGCTGTGTCTGGACCCAGATTCAGAGCCTCCAGAGAGCAGGAGGAAACCAGTAGGCATGAGGTGAAGGAGCTTAAACTGTCTGTAGAGAGGCTGTAGTTAACACCAGCAGCAGAGAGGATCTCTTCTCATGATGTCTTTTATCTCCTCTTTAAAGCTAAAACACATCCATCTATATCTGTCATCTGGCTCCTCCAGTGCAGGATGTGCTAGTTTCCTCTGTTTGAAATCACTGTTAATTAAATATTTTAAAGTTTGGGACTTTCAGATGGACAGGAAAAAGTCTTTTGAACTGATCGTGTTGGATTCAGACGCACTGAGTCGAACCTTTTCCCCTCTTTCTGTCAGTAAATCAAGAACGTAATTAGTCAGTTTTGTGGTTGATATTTGTTTAATCTTTTTATGTAACAGGAGGTCACATTGTGAGCATGTGAACAAGAATAAACACACGCTGTTTCACCGCAGAGTCAAACCAGCTTCACATTCGTCGCACATAATGGGGCTAGAAGTTTAGTTTTACTCTTTAAAAGAACTACATTCAAATATTTTTAAGTACTTTAATGAGTGGTTTCATTTTAGATTCTTTAAGATTGTTAATCTGAACTTCTGCTTTTTGGTTTGATATAAACTGTGTCACTACTTATATGCAAATTTGGAAATTTTATGGCATATTAAAGGTGACATATCCTCCTCCTCTTCTTCAGTGTAAATACGTCTCTGAGCTCCTCAAAACGTGTGTGAAGTTTCTTGTTCTAAATCCACTCTGATCCTGTATTTGATCATGTCTATAAACCCCTCTATTTCAGCCCTGCTCAGAACAGGCTGTTTCTGTGTCTGTACCTTTAAATATGTAAATGAGCTGTGTCTGACCACGCCCCCTCTCTGGAAGGGCTTGGGTGTACTCTGATCTTTCTCGCTCCATGTCCTATTGTTTACGGTGAGAAGGCAGACTCAGAGGGCAGAACAAACACCTACCTGTGGGAGTGTCACCCACCTGGGGAGGGGCTACTGCCCTTTGTGATGTCATGAAGGGAAAATCTCTAAACGGCCTGTTTGAGCACACATTTTCTGAAAAGTGGAGCAGGCAGAAGACGGAGAGGATGGACTTTTCTCATGATTGAGGGGTTTGTAGACGGACTAGAGACACATTATGATCCCGTCTCGCCCCTTTAGTCGTGGTAATAACGCCTCTATTACTACCTGGGAAGACGGTACAGAGGTGGGATCACTAAGTCCGACCATTACACCTTAGGGACGTCCATATGGCCCCTTGAAACGGCGTCTGAATGTGTAAAGAGGTGTACTGGAGGGACTTAGTGATCCCCCCCTCTGTACCGCCGTCAGAGCTAGTAAGAGAGGTGTTACAGGGGGCGGAGCTAGGAGAACAGCGCTGTATGCAAACCTCACCTGCAGCGTGCTGTTAATCACTTCTCCTGAACCCTGAGGCAAAATGACAGCTTATAAAAAACAAAATCGCCTGGTTGGCGTTTGCAGCTCGTACAGAGGGACGTCTTTTAACCTTCAGTCTGTTTCATAACCACATAAAAAGCGACGTACATCAGAGTAAGTACAACACAAGCAAGGATCTAGAAAAAAGGGAACAATGTCAGTAAGAGCAAACGATCAGCTTTGAGTCTGATTGGACACACAGGTGCTGACAGGGAGTGACCAGAGGCAAAGCACAACATTGAGGGCAGTTCTTGAGAGCTCTAATCAGTATAGAAACCATCTTATAAGTCGTCGTTATCAAACAAAAACCATCGTCATTACCATCATCATCATCAATAATATGGGGACCATCATCATTATGTTAGTAGGTATTCATGAAAGAGCTGGGTCTTTAGCTTTTTCTTAAAGGTGCAGAGGGACTCTGCAGATCACATGGAGTTGCATGACCAAAGTGCTGTTTTTACTGATCTCACTGTTGCTGTGTGAGCAGTCCTGAAGTGACCACAGCTGACGGCTAAAGGACGCACACACACTTGTTATGATTTACTCAGGAGACGTGAGTTCACACCTCTTCAGTGACCTACATTAGCTGATAAGTGTCACCTGTCCTCCTCCCTCAGGTGTTAAGTTGCTGCTCAAACAATAACACAGACCTTTTGATTTTGCCAGATTAAAACCTGTGGAGCAGCTTTCACCGGTGCAGAGTCCCAGTGACTATGAGACCAAGTCTGACAGGAAGAAAGGCCAGTCCAGCCACGTAAGGAGAAAACACACAATCACACACAATGTCACAATATTGCAGTTTCCTTATCAAAGCTAAACGTCCACTCTGCTTTTTCACAGATATCTAAGACAAACACACACTATCACAAGTTATTTAAGGAGGTCAGCAAAGACGAGACCCTCAAACAGAGTAAGTGTCCTTGGGTCGTCTTTTCATGTGAATATAAGGAGAGAGAATGTTTTTCTTAAGGTGGAGCTTTTTGTTTTTTTGTGCAGGCTACACGTGCGCCCTGCAGAGAGACATTTTATATCAGGGCAAAATGTTCGTCTCTGATAACTGGATCTGTTTCCACTCCAAAGTCTTCGGCAGAGACACCAAGGTATCTCCTCGTCCTGTCCCTTTAAGAACTGGTGGTGTTGAAGTCAAGACCAAGACTGACAGAGACCAAGATGTACCCGAGACCAGAGTGCTCTGAGACTGAGACAAGACCAAGACCAAAATAGGGCGAGTCCGAGACAAGACCAAGACATTTAAGGGGTGAGACAGAGTAAGGACGAAGACCAAGGCAGGGTAGACTGAGACAAGATCAAGACCTAGCCAAGACCAAGACCAGACTGACCGAGACCAAGATGTACCCGAGACCAGAGTGCTCTGAGATCGAGACAAGACCAAGACCAAAACAGGGAGAGTCCGAGACAAGACCAAGACATTTAAGGGGTGAGACCGAGTCAAGACCAAGACCAAGGCAGGACTAAGACCAAGACATACCCGAGACCAGAGTGCTCAGAGACCAAGACAAGACCAAGATAGCCAATCAGTGGTGGTCTTGACCGGTCTTGATTTAGAATCCGGAGTCCACCCAGTCTGAGACCAAGACAAGACCGAGTACAATGCTTTTGATTACGAGACGAGACCTAGACCCTTAAAAAGTGGTCCAGAGTCCGGTCTTGAGACTAAGACCGGTCTTGAGTACAACAACACAAAAAACAGTTTCTGTGTCCTCACCTTCTTCTTCAGGTTTTCAGGTTTTGTTTTCTCTCACCTCCAGATTTCCATCCCGTGGTGTCGGTAACGTTCATCAAAAAGACTAAAACGGCTCTGTTGGTGCCGAACGCCCTCGTGATCGAAACGACGAGTTATCAGGTGAGAGGAGCTCTGACACGGTCGGTTATCTCTCTGGATATAAACATAAAAACTCTGATTCTGATTGGCTGTCTTCCAGCATGTCTTTGTGTCTTTCCTGTCTCGAAACACCACCTACAAACTTCTGAGGACCATCTGCATCCACCTGGAGGTAAGACACGCCACAAACCTCTGCTCTTGTGAATGAATTGGGATTTGACACAACATTTACTGTTGATTTGACACATTTCTTATATATATAAATTAGGGATGGGAATTTACAGTAATCCCTGTAATCGATTACCCGAATTCCCCAATGAACGAGTACTCGAGTACACGCAGATTATTATTATTTTTTTAACTGTAAACAAAAAAAAGGGTCCGTCGGACACCGACCTCCCGGACCGGTATTGTAGACTTTATGCCTGTAAAATGACATAAACATCCAATATTTAAACATGAATATAAATAGATAACCAACAACAGAAAGCGATTTCAATTTCAACAACATTGCTAACAACGACGTCACTAACAGGGCTAGCAAATGACGTGATGCGAGACTGCCTATTTTCTCCTTGTGCTTTAAGCGCATGTGGTTAAGCATCAAACTAGTATTCCTATGGTATGCAAGTTTAACACATATCTTGCACTGCACATTAACTTAATCGTTTTTGTCGAAGTACTTTCAGACCTCACTTTTCTTGACTGACATGTCGCAGCTGTAGCAGACGGTTCTGTATTTGTTGTGCTTTTGCTTTCGGTGTAATAATATGGTCCTAGAGAGTTGCCGAGTTGTTTTTGCTGAAATCTGGCTCGTGTGTACTAAAGCTGAAGCCGTGGCCGGAGAAGTCATACGTTTGTATCCCGTTAATTATTTTCAAACCTAGTATATTCAGTTAGCCGAAAACAAAAAGCTGGGTCACGCACGTAACGCTGTATGAGTTCAGCGCTTGCACAGGGTCGCGAGTAACAAAATGTTACTTGAATAATGGGGTCAACGGCGAGTACTCGAGTACTCGTACCCGTCCCTAGTATAAATGTTTGATGTGTTTGATTCCAGGTGGAGAAGACATGCAGCAGCCCCACTAATTCCTCGTGCGAGAACAGCTTCAGGGTGGATTGTCCGTCGACGCTTCCTCTGGTCAGTGTTTTTGTACAGCTATGTACCGCCCTACCACGAGGAGGTTTTCTAAATATTTTTCTCTGAGATGAAAGATGTATAGAATAGCTTTGTTCCCATAGCAACATCTCTGCATGTGGTATGTTTTTTTTTTAATCTTCCCGTGTGTGTCGCCACAGGACTTCTCCGACCTGGACGGGGTCGTTCAGCAGAGACGGCAGGAGATGATGGAGAGCAGCAGCTCCGGCTCGCAGACTCCAGACTACGACAAGATCACAGGTGTGTGTGTGCTCCAAACCTCAACACTTTACCACCCTGTGTTCTTCTTCTTCTTCTCTCCATATT